GATTTTGAAACATTCCTGCACTGTGTGGCCCCAATGATAACAAGCTAAAGCATCTTTATTGTGGGATAACAATGCAGTATCCTTAGAGTACTTGTACAATAGCTATTGCAGATCCCTGAATCCAAATACACAAAACCCACAACTGTTCCAAGTGTAAAAATGTCCTAAGGAAACTTATTTCAATTTGCCACAAGTATACAATTGGCAGCCATATTTTGTAGCATTATTGTATCAAAGAATTTAATATCAACAGTATAACACTTGAAATACCACAACTTCATCTGCTGTAACTTGGTAGAGCAAGCGGCAGAACTACGTCCATTTGCACTGACAGAGGACCCAGTGATTGAGTACAAAAACCTGCTGTTGATTTCAGAAGTAAGTTTGGGAATAAAAGGAATACACAACTCCAGATGATGTAGAGTAACAACAAGAAGCAAGACAATGTTAATCAGTATTTCTGGACTGTTTTAGTTAGCACTGTGTGGGTGGAACAGATGGCTGAAGAGGGCAAGTCTGACAGCTGTAAATTTACTTTGCAAATGAAAATACAGTTATCCTCCTAGTCCTGGCTGTGGATTAGGAGAAATCTGCTCTTGATCATTAGCCTGTATTCACTTTTCTGCTGAAAATGTGTAGTGCAAAGCTTTTTCAGAAAGTATTCTGCACAGCTCCCTATTTTTCCCCTACAGCAAGACAGCCAGAAGTGTAAGTGGGAGAAACAAATCAGTAGGCATAATTGGTCTTTTTTGCAAAAGACCGTGCGAGATTAAGATTTAAGATCTGTCCAGAATCAAATGTTAATTACTCAATATGAAAGCTGTCTTTCTAATGAAGGGAGCCTCCTTACATTATCTATTAGTGTAGGCAGTATTGTTAAAGAGATTGCTAGGTATCAGTCACAATGTAAGTTATTATCCAGATGTAATCATACTTTTGCTGGATCATGAACTGGGAAAACCTCTAAGAATTTTCTTCTTAAAAAAAGGCAAACAATGGTGTAGCAGTTTTGGAATAAAGTCAAGACACTTAATTTGTTCTTAACTTTTTTTGCAGAACAATAATAGCAGAAAGTGTGTCAGTCCATCCTTTTCAATACAAAAAGGACTGACCTATAAATAATGGGACTGGATGCGGAATGATGTTGATGGTGTCCTTTCTGTTCCTAGTTTTGACTTAAATAACTAAACATTTTCCTCAGAAACTATGGTAAACAAAATGTATCTATACAAGAGGCAAGGAATTTTTTGGGTGATATCTTTTATTGGACCAACTGAATGGTTGGGAGAAGAATGCACTGTATTCATAAGCTTGTATAAATCTATCCCAAAATGCAGTTGGTCTAATAAAAGATATCACTCAAAAACATTTTTGTTTCTCACATTTCCTGGACTATCATAGCTACAACGCCATTCCAACCCTACCACAAAAATTATCTATAATACTTTGGACTTGTCCTTTTATAAATTCTTCAAGCAAAGGCTTGAAGCACTGTGCTATGGTTAAGAAAAAGCATAGTAAGTGGCCTTTTTGAAGAACCTTTTCAATACTGTCTCTATTGACTTACTTTCTGTAAAAGTCTATTACTTTACATTGTATCCAATGTTTAAATTACTGATGAATCTAATCTTTCAAGTGTTTAAAAGGTAAAAATTCAAATGATAAATAATCTCCACCTGTTCCAAAAGCCACCTCCCTGCAGTTAAACTGTAGAGATTATATCCTCAGCCCGCGTAAACTAGCATAGCTTTGCTGAAGTCCATTTACACTGGCTAAAGGTCTGGAAAAAAATTATCAGTTTGTTAACCATGATGCTAACTGGATTTCCCGTGGATAACACTCAGAAAAATAGGTGATGAATCTTTTGCTATAGTACATTTTGAACAGTAGCAGACAATAACATATAGATTATAAACTAGATTTGGCACAATATATTTGTGGCCCATGTGACATGTTTATATTACACAGATTCTCAGCTTTCATTTAAATACATATATAAGCTTCTAGTCTTTGTGGTTGTGAAGAAAACACACCAAACACAAAGGGCCAGCCAACCAAACACAGTTTTCTTCTAGAGTGTGCAGACAGCCTGAAACAATGGCTGAGATGTGAAATCCTACTGTCAGTAAAATCTCACTTGACGTTAGAGCCAAGTTCTTCATTATAATAATGCTACAGAATGATGCTTTAAAATTTAACTAGTGGTGTAAGTCCCTTACTAAAATTTCAGATATACTATCTAAAACAATGACATTATAATATCAGCACTGCTGACCATTTTAGCAGCTCGGATCACCTGCTGAAGGATGATACCTGGAGTTATGAGGGGGTGGGGAGACAGAGGGAATTTCAGCAGGGAAGGACCAGCAGAGGGAAGTACAAAGGGAGACACAAACACCAGACATACCCATAGGCCACAAGGAAGGGAGTATATTTTCCCACTGATTAATACAGATAATGAAGCTCTTCATAAGTTATAGACCTGACAACATTATAGTCAGATTCTTCCCTGACCTGTGTGCAAATTTCCTATTGATACTGGCCATTCTGTTCCGGAGAGACGGGAATAATGGAGTCCTCCCTTGTCAGCAGTATGGCATCCTTGTTTCAGACAACAGATTATTATTAAAAGTGCAATTTTGGTTGTTTTAAGAAAAGAAAAAAGATTTTTTTAAAAATTCTACAGTAACATGTAATGCTTAGGGACCCCCCCCCACAAATTTCCAACCCCATTGTGTTAATTATCATATAAACACACAGTAAGAGCCAGTCCCTCAAATGACAACAGTGGACGTTAAGTGGATGAACCTGCCTACAATCTTGCAGGTCAACACAAAGCACAAGTTGGACATTATTACTACTAGAATGTAAGTTAACTGGCTTTGGCATTTCCATCATTGAGGAAAGAGAACTTACTAAAAGAAGCAATGTGAAGCATATTTCATGCCACGGGGGATGTTGTATTTTCCTTTAAAGACAGGCCCAAAGCCACAAAAATCTGTTCTGGATGTGAAGTTCCCTAAAGGAAACAATCAAATCTAGACTTTTGCTTCAGTCCATTTTATTGTGTGGGACTAGGGTATAAGTTTGCTTCCAGATTCAGATCCAAACTTCTCTTGAAATTCAGAGTATTTGGATACATGGTGTTGGCCCAGTTTGCCTCTAGGTGTATTAACTCCAAGTAAAATAACAGCCCTGAGCCTGTGCCTAAAAGCCTACTGATTCCAGAAAGAATTCTGCCTGTATAGGATTGCAGGAACAGGTTCTATAACGAAGGATAAACATAAAGCATTTTCAACTGTATTCCTTTCCTTCACTATTCCTTTATCACTTATCTTCTTAGATAGTAAACATTTCTGGGTATATATCATGTTTTCATGCACCTACGTACATTGGCTAGCACAGCAACTTAGACCTGTTCCTGGCTAATGTCTCTGGGCATTTAAACAACTAGAAGATACTGCTTTGCCTTATGGTACCTAGGCTATAAAGTGCTGAGGTACTTATTTCCCCATTTAAAAAAAATGAGATTTAAGAATGCCTGCTGGACCTCACGGGTGAAAAAAATGGAGCTTTATACAGGTCAGTAAAAATAATTTAAAATGTGTTGTCATGAAAAAATGGTTAATTAGGGGGCATTTTGTGTGCCTATTCAGGTGTGTAGTTCAATGGACTTTAACGGGATCACCCACCTCAAAGTTCAGTGGACCCAGGGCACAAAGCATTCCCACACAGCTCACTGCAGAAGCGAGGCCCTAGTTAGCAGTATTCAGTAGTGAAGTGTTCGTGTTCCCTGAGTGGTGCTCATTTTAATCTGACTGAGCTTGATGCTCTCACATTCTTGTCTCTGTTCAGAAGCTCTGGGTTACCTTCTCATAATCATCCTAAGCATTTTATGGGTGCTTCACCATTATTCAATAAGAGCCCAGCAAATGAGGAGAAAAGCACCTAACAACATATGACTGGTAACTGAAAAGAAATGAAAACAAAAACTTCCCAAGGAAGATTATTAGTTGTTGTGGCGCAGAACAAAAACCTTTTACACATTTTCAACTTGGAATCAATCAAACAGAGCAGGGGAGTAAGACTTGGATGAAGATGCCGGGATTTTCCGTGAAACAATTTTGACCAACACGAGAAAATAAATGTGGTAATACAAGCAAGCGGCACCCATGCGCAGGGGTGCGTGCATGTGGGGGGGTCTTCCACTGATCATTTACAGTTCAACAAAGGAAACACTGCATTAGGAGAAAGAAAACCAGCTGCAGCTGGACATCAAAGGATCTCAAAATTAAGTTCATGATTCAATGTTTCATGCACCACCAGAAGGGCAATGAAGGTAAGACACCTTCTGCTCTTTCATCTCAGTGTAGGTGAGACAATGACCCACAGCGCTGGACGCCTGTGGAGTCACTACCACAGCCCCTTCGCCTTCACCTCCGCCTGGCAGCAGCAGCACGGGGTAAACATTTCGGAGCGTGGGCAGAAGGTAACGCAACCTTTCATGGAAAAGGTCGTGCTGGATCAGCATATTCCGCTGCAAAGCGATCTGTAGGGGAGACGGCTTGGGAAAGGACCCGGGTCTTTGCACACATAGATACAGACCCAGACA